GCCCATCTTCACTCACGGACAGGTGACCTACATGCCAGCAGGGGGCGCTTACTCATGAGCAGGAGTCCGGACTTGGCATGACTCAGGTGTTAGTCATGAGGACACCATGTGACAGGTCAGGAGACAGGACACGAGTCAGAAGACTCTGACCAAGCAGGGACAAATAGGTACCTGGTCTGTGCACCGTTGTAATTGTATAAATAGTAGGGAGTCTGAGGCAGGGAACCTCAGACTTGATCTTCTCGTCGATCACCCATCTCCTCTGTAGGTAGCTAGCAGCCCTACCTCTCACTGCCCCTTCTAGTCTAGGGAATCTACTTCTTTACACCATCTCTTGCTGTGTCACCTGGAGTTGCTTCGCCCCTTAGCACCAACCCCATCACCAGTGAGCTTTGTCTTTGTTTATCTGGTGGCACAGCTCGTTGGCTGTGACAATGTTAGAGAAAGTGTAAGCGGCATGTTCATGGCCACAATTGGCGAAGAGAAGACGGTAGGGAGCGAGTGAGCGCTGCAATCATGAATCAGGCAGGTCTAGCGCTCACCCTATCGGCCACTTCCATCTGCACCACGTCCGTCGTGAGGCAACACTGTCTAGCTTGGTGAGCCGTCCCTTACTTTTTCCTAGCTTGACTTACCTTTTAGCATCTCAGATGCCTGTACAACGCCCTACACGGTCTGATACAGAGGTACCCCACAAGCCCGGGCTTGAGGGCCGGGCTCGGGCTTGCAGAAGTTCAAGCCGGGCCCTCAAGCCCTGAAAGCCCGACGCCGGGCTGGGCCGGGCCGGGCTTTTCGGGGCTGGGTACCTGGGGCTTCAGGGCTTGGAGCCCGGCCTTGCACAACACTACTTAGATATTCCCAGCGAGTCAGGGTACTAACCATAGACATAGACACAGAGACTCACAATTCGCAATCTGCAAGCCTATTTGAGGTTCAGATAGACTCTAATATGCCAGTTGATCAAGACGATTTACAGTTCCTTCATGACGCGAAGGTATGCCGGAGTTGAAACATAGACTACGTATTAGTAACTTGATAACTTATATCTAACCACATCTAATCAGGCGTTCGACCAGGTCCGCCGTTCACACCCCTTTAACTAGCTGGTACTCGCTCACGTACATGCGCTTGAACCAGAAGGGCCTAAAACGCAGTGATTGCTTTTTCCACCGTCGGCCGTTTGTCTGCGTGGGCGTCTTGAAGTGAACAGTGTATTGGCGCTCTGACATTTGGAGAAGAGTCCCCTTAGACGCCTGCAGGATCTGATTGCGAGCCCCGCCTGATGGTCTCGACACAGCGCAGTGTCACCCACCGTGTCATCCACCAACAAGAAGTGTCCTTTGAACACCCATATTTTCTATGGACGACCTCGCGAACTCCCTGCGTCCCTCGCGTTTGGTTTCGTCTATCGCGCAGTCCCCGGCACTTCCATGGGAGGTCATCGAGAGGGCCATCGATCTCTGCTCTGGCGACAAGGCGACGCTGTGCGCTTTTGCTCTGACCTGCAGCCAGCTCCATCCTCGTAGCCTCTTTGTTCTCTTCACCAATGTCGACCTCCGAAGCCTGAAACAGCTCGTGGCGTTCTACCATGCCGTCCAAGCTCAGTCGCACCTTCAGCCTGTCGTGAAATCTCTATCGTTTCCGTGGGGGGATCTCTCCGAGTCTCCATTTCCCCTGCTGTCCACCCTCCCAGGTCTCCGCAATGTCACATTTAACAGTATCTATCCTGTGATTAGGGATGATATCCAACTCTCCCAGTCCACTTTACTCTGTGGCCTCCAGAGCCTGACTATCCGCGATGCTGTTTTCCGAACGCAAACCGCTTTCCTCCGCTTCCTCTCGGCCTTCCCGAACATCGAGGACCTCACCTGCGAGAGTCTGCATCTGATCATCCATGAAGGCAGTGGAATAGTGCAAGATCATCCGTCTTGTCGTTTACAGCTGCGAACGCTGAATGTGAGGGTCCAACATGGTCATCTGTGCTCCTCGATCTCAACGCGCTGGGTTGCCTCGTAGATACTTCAAGATGTGGACCAACACGTCGCAGAGCTGCTGGTTCACATAGCTCAACCGGCGATCACTAGTCCGCCTGCAGTTCCAGAACCTGCTCGTGTGTATCTCTTTCAGTCTCCCGCTGCATATCTTATATATTTTGAATCGGATGCATCATCTATGCTGCCTCTTCACTCAGGTCAGGATCGCCAGACCTCCTTAACATGGTGGACACCAGTTGGGCCCAAGAGACTCCACCATGCCATCGGAGTCTTACGCGGTTCACCAAGAGCGATAAGACATGTCACCCTGGTCCTCTGGGATTCCGACGTGGGTTCTCTACACAGGAAATGTTGTCGACCTGCGAATCTGGAGCTTTTTGCAATATTGGAGAGTGTCCTGCTCGAATATAACTGCCATCGCGTACTATTGACCGTTCCCGGAATCCCAGTCCTGAAAAAACGGAAGACTATCTCCTGGTCGGACGAGTTCAGCAAGTGCTTCCGTCCAGTTAGCGAGAAATGGGCGCTGACTGAAGACGTCAGATACTGTGAGTATCGTCCATGCAAATGATCCGAGTCGGACATTGACCTGAGTAGCTGGTGAATGCGGGCATGACTCGTATGTCACCGCGCTTGTCGTCTCCTCAGATGGGCGGTGGGTAGCGACGGCCTCCGAGGATTCCACGATAATCCTCTGGGATGCCCACGACGCACGTATCTCGAAAGAGTGGCTCTCCCGTGACGGAAAGCTCTTGGGTCTTGCATTCTCACCAGACAGCAGACACCTCGCGTCCGCGGGTGGAGATGGGAGCGTGACGATTTGGGACATCAGCCGCAGCTCATATCGAGTTGCCGTCCTCGAAGGCCACTCTGCTCCTGTCCTACACTGTGCATGGTCCATCGACGGTGCTTACATCGCATCCAGTGATCATACCAACACTCTACGACTGAGGGATGGACAATCATTCCAGCTGCTTCCCGTCGACGGCACAACTATCATCGAGCCCCTGTTCTCCCCCGACAGCCAGTGGCTTCTAGTGCACAATTGGGACAGTTGTGGCGTTTGGGATGTTGTGTCCCGCGCATACCTGGCACTCCGGTTCCAGCTAGTTGAGGAGGGCGCTCAGCCCGTCGCAGCCGCATTCAACCCCTCGAGTACACACGTTGCAGTTGGATACTGGAGCGGGATGATCCACATCTGGTGCACGGCGACTGGACAGGAGCCTCTGCTCTTCAAGGCGCACCAAGAATGGGTGAACGATGTGGTATTCTCCCCAGATGGTCGACTGCTGCTCTCGGCGTCGAGCGACAAGACGGTGAAGATATGGGACGCGCGCACCGGTGCCATGGTCCAAGCGCTTGACGGGCACCAGTCCACCGTGTACAAGGCGTGCTTCTCCCCGTGTGGGAAGTATATTGCCTCTGCATCTGCTGACAAGACGGTAAGGGTATGGAGGACAAGCGATGGATCATGTTTGGCGACGCTCTCCGACCATGGCGCGTGGGTCCAGCACGTTGCTTTTACTACCGACGGGACAATGCTATGGTCTGCGGCACACAATGGAACTGTCTTGGGTCGTCGATTGCAGGACATCGTTCCGAAAGTATAGATTGTAGAGAAGTATATGGTAGACCGATGACCCCCGTTCCGCCTCACACCTCGTATGTCTACATCTGAGTGTATATGTATCTACGTCCAGTACAGTCACGAGTCCCGCTAACGATACTCTATATAGCCTTGTTTAGTGTTCCACACGGCTATCGCTCTCGTACACCTACTTCCAAATCATACACTATCCCTCGCTGCTCAGATAGCCATCGATTCTACGGGGATGCTGTATATCAATTTAGGAAGACAAATGAGAGGCAAGAAATCCCTAAGAATATGCACGGAAAGCATGCACAATTCCACCTATGGTCTGTAGATCCTCCCTAGACTCGCGTTAGCTAGCAGTGCTCAAAGCGCAGGTATAGAGATATATCGGACTGACCTTTATGTGTCACTCTCCAGTCTCGAAGCGGAGGGACCCGCGACAGTGGTGGATCAGCGTCGACAACCTCACGTCTCACCAGTGCTCATAACGCACCCGACGTGTCTGATTCGCCTTCCATCATCAGGACGCGAAGCGCAATATCCTGCAGTCCAGGTAGAGACTCACAATCATCAGCCAAGACGGAAGGAAGGAGGTGTCAAGCGGACGACGAGCCCGAGGCTGCGGTTGAGCACTCCTTGCTGAGCCCTCGGCGCACGCATGGCACGGTCGACGACCCCGACAGGCCCTTTGATCCCTGGGTCCAGGCATAGATCGAGGAATCGGCAACGTCCACACAACGCCATCGAGCCGACCACGTCAGATGTCTGTTCGATCACCCGGCGTCGCGTGTGCTGTGTCGGGCATGGTTAGCCTGTTCCTGTGCAGCGCAGTCATCGACAACAGTATTGTTTTGTGACGCGCGACCACGCTCCGTGTTCGGCCTTGGCTGTGTCGTTCTGCCCCTGGCAGCCCATGATTCGAACTGCGCGTCTCGCGCTCGCGGGCAATAGGGAAGGTGTGGGAGGCGTGTGTCGAGTAGCTCAACGCGCAGGCGTTGGCCGGGCCTTGTGCTTGCTCGCTCCATGTTGTGTGTAACATATAGTTTGCGGAGGCATGTGTCGATATCAAAGACACCAAGCCGTGTGGATTGCAAAAGAACACTCACCGGTCGCTTGGGTATAGTGTTGTGCAAGGCCGGGCTCAAAGCCCTGAAGCCCCGGGTACCCGGCCCCCAAAAGCCCGGCCCAGCCCAGCCCGGCGTCGGGCTTTCAGGGCTTGGGGGCCCGGCTTGAATGTCTGCAAGCCCGAGCCCAGCCCTCAAGCCCGGGCTTGAGGAGGACCTCTGTATCTGACCGCGTAGGGCCTTGAACAGCCGTCCGAGATGCTGAAAGGTAAGTGAAAAGTAAGGGTCGACTCACAAAGCTTGACAGTGATGCCTCTCGGCGGACCTGGTGCAGATGGACACGGCCGGTCGGGTGAGCGCTAGACCTGCCTGATTCAGGACTGCGGCTCACAGGGTTCGTACCGTCTTCTCTTCGCCAAAAGTGGCCATTTACATCCTGCTTACTCTTTCTTTCATGTGTAGCAAGGCCTACAAATGAGCTGAGGTACGTGTCAAATGCTAATTCTTCATGTATATGTGATAGGCCTAAAGCCCGGGCTTGAGCCCGACCCGACCCGGACCCAGCCCGAGCCCACCACTAGGGCCCGGCTCGAGGGTTCAGTGAGCCTGAGCCCTCCAAAGCCGGGCCCTAGCCCGGGGTTTTGAGCCCGGCCCGGCCCTGCACAACACTACCCAACTTGGGTAAGGGCGCACGAGGTGTCCGACTGACGTGTCTTAGAATGGATCCGGCGAGGAAATAATCGGAATGGATCCTGGTTGAAGACGTGCATTCCATGCGCGAATTGCTGCCAAAACAGGGGAATGCCACTGACGCAGGGTATCTCGACACTTGTGCTGATGCGGAGAGAGTCATGGTCATACACGCGGAAGTGAGTACTCACGTCCGCAATGAACCATATCCCACGTTTGACTAGCAGCCAATCGCGCGTCATCTGATCCCTTTTCCTTGGTGTAAGCTCCAGCGAGCGCAGGCTGACCCTCTTCTCCGCCTTCGTCGCTCGTGCTGTGCTGAGTGAGATCCAGCGCAGGCATACATCCAGGGGCAGTGGAAAGACGTTCGCGCTCTATTTGTTCGTCTGGAAGAACCAAGGGACTGAGCGTGTAAAAGGAGGTCGGGATAGGAGGAAGACAGATGAGGAAGGCGTAAGTCCATCGAGAGAAGTTGGGGAGTCGGGTGCGGGGAAGAGCGATGGGAGATCGATAGCCTTAGATGCTTGGCCAAAGGCACCGTCGATAGCGGACTACTGACGTTGTGGAGGGCGGTCGCGAGGGCCATTTGGAAAACGACCTAAGAATTGATAAATGAGCATTCCCAAAACTGAATTAATAACGGGGTCCCGAGTCGTTCGCATACAGGCATTAGTGCAACTATAGACCAGAGCCCTGCACGTCAGTATTAGAGCATGAATGGAGGACGGCTTTGACAAACTCACTCGAAGATCTGCAGAGTGTTTGTGCTGCTCTGCTTGGAGGACTGCCTGCAGCCTTGAGCCCTGCAGCTCGAGGACGGTGTTGTGCGGAGAGCCGCGGCGTCTCGAGTAGCGCTTGTATATCATGCCCGCTACGGAGATACGGGCCGGGTCCCGGATGCGGACGCATAGGTCCGTCATTCTTCCCAGCGCGACTCTGCACGAATATCTGGCGTTCAGCTCAGGTGCAGCAGCTCGACGAGACTCACTGGTTTCTCAGCTCTTCCTTAACTTTTGGACCCCGCCAGTTTGCACGTCAGCGCTGCGAGAGTGTCATAACACCCTCATACCTGAGGCCTAGCTGTGACGTCATGAGTGCGCTCCCGGTCCCAAAAGTCAACATGAATTGCCTGAAACAGGTCGTCGGATGGCGTACAATCGGTCTGTCTCGGGTGGTCCCGTCATTACCAGGTGAGTAGCGATTACGATAAGTTAACAATCTGTACGTCTTCCCGATCCTCCTTACGGGCTCCTTGTGTACACGCACTCATTCATGGAGCACCGCTATCGTTTGGGCTATGGGCTCACCGGTCTCCCTCCAATGCAGATTCAAGTCGATAGGTGTGGCATACATCCACAACCCGAAGCAACCCTTTCGCCTTCCACAATATTGCTGCTCGAAGGAAGCCCTAGTGATACTTATGCTCGTGCACACATAATCAGGTTCCTACCGCGTGCGACATAGCCCACTGAAGTCCTCATCGAGCAGGTCTTCCCACTACAGGACACCCACTCTTCCGCGAGCAACGGCCCTAGCGATATTTTGGCGGCATCCGGAGCATCGGCACACCCTTCTTCCTCAATTACGCCGTTACGCTGTGGATGTCAGCAAGACGTGGTTGCGCATACCGTGTTTGATTGGTGTCGAGTTACGGGCGGAGAGGGGAAGATGATCACATTGCACTCTGTGGGTGCGTTCTCAGCTTCTGCTGCTAGCGGACAGGGCATTTTTGCGCTCTACGCCGACGATAGGCTCACGATTTCTTCCGCGACGGCGGGACGTGCTTGCTATACGACACCGTCCCCTCAGACAAATTGGCGCTGGTGTTGTTCTAGCATGTGCTGGAACGGCTTTTCCTCCCGAAGTTCATCCCCTCTACTGTTTCTCCCTACCTTCAGGAGAGCACATCGGAATGCTCATCGAGAAACTTCCTCTTGGGACCTGACATGGCGCATGACTCGCATCTCTTGTTTCCCGAGACCTCTCCGCTCTTATGCTTCCCATCTTCATCTATATCCCCATCACGCGAAGTTTTGCCCGCCCTGCCTACGTTCAAGTCGAAGCATATCCCGATTCATACGTCTGCTTACTGCACAAATGCAAGCTCGTCTCATATTGCCGCCGTCATGGAACACCACTAGCACTAGGTCGCGGACGGCGTTGGGTTCTCCAAGCGTCTCCGGCGTGAGTTCCGAGTATCTGCTGAACACAGAGACGAGCGGTGCTCGGAGAACCAAGGTGTTCCTCCTGCACAACTGTAATTGATTCATCAGTCCGAAGGCTGTCGCAGTCGCTGCCACCTGGAGCACCAATCGTCTCGCTTGATTGTCACGCCGTGGACAAAACTGCCCTGAATGAGAATCTCGTCCATGCAGGCAAACTAGTGCTGAACCCTCCCCTTCCCCCAACGAGTATCATATGCCTGTTCTTGCGTCCCGGAATCCTCGCCGCGGATGTACTCTATCCGAGCTAGCTAATGTTCCAGGATGAAATCACTCTGTAGCGGACACCGCAGTTGCCGTACGCGATCCGCACGAAGACGGTCTCCCTGACCTCTGGCCCACGGTAGAACGTTGAATCGATTTCCTGCCCTATTTCGTCCGATTTCGCGCCGCTTTGCTTATGCTTACCATCGCGTACGCCCATAAGTGTATCCTGTAATACTCCTGAGAGTGTCGTTGGTTGCGATATTGTACGACGAGCTCCTTGAAGGCAGAACAGATTGATCTGCTGAAACCCTTGGTAAAAATGTGTCTCTATGCCTCGCTGCAAATCAGCCAGCGACGAGAATTAAGCCAAAGAACAGCATATGACTGCAAAGCGGCCGTGAGTGATCGCTGCAAAGACAAACGACAATCTCGTCCCGTTCGACATGGTAACACGATACATATAACCCTGCATGGACCCAGGAATTAATCGCGAATAGATACAATCTCTTCTAGATCAACGAGCAGACGGTACGCGATGCATCTCACTTCTACCCAGATACCACAGTCTTTGTCGCGTTCCTCAGCTCTACCAGTCGTTGAGCCAGACTGGTCCCTCTATGTCTGAGTTGGCTCATCAGCTCTCTCCCTATCATCACCATCACCATGGTCCTCATTCAGGTAATCTTGGGTCGCCATTGATGCTCCGAGGGATCCAACGACGCGTTCAAAGACTAGAGAACGATCGAGGTGCAGCGACAAAATCTGTGAGGACGGTACAGAGCCAACTGCCCGGAGGCTAGCTGACTGTAGATGGAGGAGGAAGCGTGACACGAGGATGGCAGATAGCCTGCGTGGTCGAATGCGCATGCAAAGAGTTAGAATACTCAGGATCGACTTGCAGATGCAATGGCGCACATACGGGGTTGTGAACTCCGTCACTACGCTTACAGGTTGTAGTGCGGCTACAGAGATCTATGAGACCCACAGTCAAACGTTGCGCTGGTTCAACCATAGATGGTGGACTCACCGAAAGCAACGTGAAGGCAAGATGTAGGGAATTGAGCACACCGAGGATGCTGAATGAGGAAGGAGTGAGATGCGACATGCCGCAAAATCACCCCACTCACAGGAAATAGACGGTCCCTGCGTGAACGATATTGTTAGCATGTTACGCCCCGGCCGACACTAGTACTACTCAGCACGCACCATCCATCAGCAAGACTCTAGCTATCGAGCCCTTAAGCACGCCTCCGCGGTGAGCTGGATACTGGAGACCTAATGTGAACCATGTGACACCTATGGCGAGGCAATCTGCTGCAATGACGCATGACCGAGAGATGATCGTGACTAAAGAAGCTGGTAAGATTGAGCGTTCAGGTAGACTCGGATTGCACTTTACATCTAGAATAGATAGGTTGGGCTTCAGTGGAGTCTCAATCGACGCTCTCAGGGAGCCTCACATTTGAGCGAGATTGATGGACACATTGTTAATCTCTGTGCATCCAAAGGGAAAGATGTTCTCGCCGGTCAGTCCGAGCCTGAAGTTCGCCTGTTAATGAATCAGTATTCACAGGATAGCAATGAACATGTCGTGATCCGATCTCACAAAGTTAGTTCCGAGAGGCACCAAGGATAGGCCAGCAGTGATAGCACACAGTGTTAAGCTCCTCCTGAGTGCATAGACACGGATGGCTGTGAACGCTGGGAAGTAACAATATCGAGATGTGTTCGAGGATATCAGTGGACATGAGGTGCTCACCTGCGAGGACTATGAACGTCAAGTATTCAATGGCAGCATCACCCCTGATGGACCGTGCACAGCTGCATGGACACGATTGATTGCAGTACTGTGTAGAGAGTCCATTGAATTGCCTTACCTCTGATGAAGTCAAGATATATGTGGATTCAACATTCATAGCAAGGGCGGAGTACGTACCTTGTTGGATATGCTCGGTCCTGTTGCAAGGTCCCAAACCAAAAAGAGCGCGGTCATGTACTTGTTCAGCCAGAACAAGATGGCTGCCCCTGTTATCTTCCGTCCCCAAAAACACCGGTTTTCTTCACCAGTCGTGATCATTGAGTCGTATAAGAATACCACTGCCAAACAGATCGGTGAATGGATTAGCGTTGATTCTTAAGGGCATACGATTGGTATGCTCCCGCTCAATAGGGACTGTACCTGTTGCAGCGATAGTGCAGTAGTTGTCTGTCATGCTATGCGGTTAGGAAATACATCTTTAGCGCCCGCAGTATCGGGTTTAGACAGGGGACAGGTCACGTACAGGCTAGAATACTCAGAGGCAAACTGTCCTGTCTGTGAGGAAGCCATGGTTGGAATGGGGGGTTGGGGTGGCGACGCGAGCTCTGTAGGTTGCCTCTTCTTATATTGAGGAGAAGTAATGTGGATTTCTGGTCGCCTCGAGGACACGCCCTCCACCGCAACACAGACGACACTCTGTTATCGAATGCTATCTCTTGATGATCAGCCATCGCAGAAGCTGACAACACCACGTCTCTGCCGGGTGACGGGCTTCCTTTAAGGCAAAAATATCAAGAAGCATGTGAGTCAACATACCTAGTATCATCTGCGACGCGATGAAAAGTGATCACGCGGAGAAGGGATGCGCTCGCGTCGAGGTACATGCATGATGAAATTTGAGAAGCTGAGATCGAAGGTACAGCCTCACATGTAAAAATGGCACAGATTGAATGAATGCTGACCTACGACTGGTGTGTCGGATACTTTTGAAGGATTTGGAGTGGTACGTGGTGACAGTCGCAAGCCTACAGACATGTAAGGTATGAAGTCACACGTACGTCGGCACACAGCGTTGAACGCGACCTGTGCGTAGAGTGGCTCTTCACCTCCCAGATCTCCCCGGCTAACGTCTCCTTCAGCACCTCGGTCGCCTACACAGGCTCTGGATGGGACTGGTGCTTTGAGGCATATCTTAACATAGATATACGCAAGGTCATAGGAAATCATGGCACCGAACACTGACTACCTTCACTGTCTCCGTGCGCTTCTCCACGCCGCTCTTCGAGATTCTCCCAATCGCCACTGCGATGCCCTCGGAGAACTGCCTCTGCAACCTTCCGCTGTCACGGACATCGGATAAGGCTATTGGCTGATGTCGCGTCCCTACTACTGTCTTTACTTGACCATTGCCATCGCTGATGCCGGACTCAGAGAATGTAGGTAGCAGTAGAGCGCCGCGGCGGAGAAGAGCGGAGGAAGAGAGAGGGTGTCAGTGGAGAGTGTGATGGAAAATGCTGCCGACTGGATGAGGCGGAGGCGAGGGGGGTGCTAGTTCGATGGTCTGCGGGCGGAGGTGTGGGTACGTACAGAAGTCTGTGTACATTCCCAAAAGCACAGATGAGCGTTCGTAATGAGGGCAATGCGGTCTATCATGAATGACCTTTAGGACAAGAGCGGCGCATGACATGCAGAGAAAATGAGGTCATGAGTCTCAACAGATTAGGCTTAGACGCAAGGACTATACCACCTGTACCAGCACGTGCTGTCGCGCGAGACCCCGCTTGGTCGTTCTAAAATATCCATACATGTGTATCATACGCGCAGAAACACTCGAAAATGTACAGAGATGCGTGCGCAAATCAAGGATCAGAGGAGGGAGAGACAACAGCGTACTTATTCAGGAGGACCTGTCCGCTCCATACGTGGAAACCACTCTGCTTCATCTGCGAGAAGGATGTAGTGCACGCTCGTCTCGCGCCCCCTAGGAGTCGCCTATGAGCGACTTGCTCGTTTCGAAGTGTTGGGTCTCAAGATTCGGCTCCTGAAATATATATGTCATAACCCCTTGTCCTTGGTGTGGGCTGCAGCGAGCGTGGGCTCACCTTTTCCCCACTTTCATCGCTCGTGCCGTCGCCAAGCGAGGTCCAAAACAGGTATGCATGCAGGAGCCATCGCGAATTCGGAGACGTCCTCTCGCTATTCATGAGGTCACTAGCCTCCTCGTGTCTGGAGGTGCCCGAGGACGCAGTGCGCGGAAGGAGGTCCGGACAGGGGTTAGATTTGATCCACTCCCCCTGCGGTGGACGATGTGGCTTCATGGATGCATGATGTTCACGTCGAGGGATGCTGCGGCGTCTGACGCGGAGAGAGACGATGGGAGATGGGTATGTGCGCTGGTGAAAGCGCGGCCTATAAGGAGTGGGCTACTGGCTACGGGGAGGATGGTGCAGTTGGCGGCTAAGTTACGGCGGTTATTCACAGGCACTAGTCAGACCTTCGGAGGCTCTAGCGTACTCACTGGACTATCCGTAGGAATCTGCCTTGCCATGCTTTTGAAACGCAAATCTTCGAGCCAACGCTAGGTCTGGCCTGACTCATGATGGGGGGGCGTTGAGAGCCGCAGCGTCTCGAATCGCGCTTGCCCATTAGGCCCGGTTTGGGCCGGGTATTCCCGCTGCATCACTATCCCCATGCACCCGTCTCTCTTGCTCTTGGATTGCGCTGGTGCGTACGTCCGCACTATAAGAGGGTCATGGCACCCTCATACCTGAGGCCCGAGGCCTGAGCCCTAGCTGTGGCGGCTTCTCGGTTTTGTAAGTAGACACCGCCTGAACCAGGTCGTCGGAAGGCATACAATCGTTCTGCCTACAGCAATCCCATCATCTCCCGGTGAGTCAGCGATGCGCGATGAACCCCTTCCCCGATCTTCCGTACTGACTCCTTGTGTCTCCAGTGCGCATCGATGGGACACGACCAGCGTTCGCGCTTTGTGCTCCCCGGTATCCCACTCGTGTAGAGACTACAACGAGGTATGCAAACCTCTGGGATATCGGGCCAGGGAGGTGTCAAACCTCCCAACCTGAGTGATACGCATCGGTTAGAGTTTCGGTTAGGGTTCGGTTAGGGTTTGGTTAGGGTTTGGGTTAGGCACTGCTCACACCTCCTCCTCCCCCAAGAAGGGAGTCCGTCTGTATTTATCGCGCGAACGAGGCTTTAGAGTGCCCCCCTAAGTGCTCCTGGCTCGGGGGACCCCCCAAGCGCAGCGAGGGAGGGGAGGGAGCACGAATGGCGGGTCCTCTTCGCGCAGCCCCCATCAAGCGCCACAATGGTAACTTCGATCATCAAAAAGTGCGCGCTGATGCGCCAGTGTCGGTGGTCTTCCGTGTCGCGCGTCCCCCACCCTCCTCGCCCGCTGCACCTGCACAATGCTCTCCGTCAGTTGGACAACGCTGTCTCCTCAATTGCGACCTCCTCAGAGAAGGAAGTGTCCGCTTCTTCGAGCTCCTCAAAGTTTGTTCAAGTACAAACTCAGTCTGTGGCACTGTTCTAGCCATCAAAATCCGATGCGCCCATACTGATGTCCCAGGCGAATAGCCAATCACCTGCGGGATTGGGAGGTCTGATACCTCCCTGGCCCGATATCCCAGAGGTTTGCATACTATCCCCATCTGGAAAAACAGCCTTTGCGAATTGACGCTAATTATCACTATTCAGATAATCTCATCTATATTAGCAAGTGTTAGCAGAGATGACATCTACATTAGAGCTACTATTCAGACACACTTCTTCAGTAGTGCAACTAAGCACTAATTAGTATACTTGGTACTAGTTATAACTACTCTTCACTATCACTTTTTCTATAGTGCCATGTAGTGCCAACATGATACTATTATAGCACTACTGCAAATGTGGTCCTCTAATTTTCGCTATTTTGCACTACTGTAGTACTATTTTGCGCTATTTTAGCACTACTCATTTAGGGAAGAC